CTGTCGCCCATCCTTATGTGCATATCGATGTTTTAGACCTCAGCTGTGCACTGTAAACACAGAGAGTGCACATGCATAGCCGAGTGCTTGGCCAGACGGATTGCGTGAGACACTTTTACTGCGTCTGCAGAGCTTTTCAAGAAAAACATTAGATAAACAGATTGTGCCGGCCTGTGGAACAGGGGTAATGTCTGATTCTGATCGTTTCGAGTGTTAAGACGCCTGCTCAGAGCAGGGCACATGGTCAAGAACGTCTAAATTATCCTCCCCACAATACCACAACCCCCAAAAAAGCCTCAGCCACCCGCCCCCCTACCACCACCAACGACAGCCAACTATTCAACAACTAACCAAACTGGCTGTACCAGCAATGCTCTCAGTCGCTTTCTGTTTTTGCCTATTTTATGTTTGTCTGACTCTTTCGTTCTCACTCTTGGCCTCCCTGTTTTCCCTGTGACTTTTGATAGTGTTTTTCCTGGAGTGGGAAACGGCTGCATGTGAGAACTAGGAAGAAGCAAGTTTTTTATCGAGTGTAAATACAGATGCTCACACAGACGTGACTAATTATACAGGCTCGCTCATGGTTTTTGGGACTGCACATCCTTATGCGGCAGTAAAATAAGATGGCAACCGCAGCGCTATAAGCTCACGGTGGCGAAAAAGCATCGCACTACACTGTACACCGTAGGAGGGCTTCAAGGTCGGAGCAAAGCCCAAAATTGTCCTGCTGGAGCCAAGCAGAGCCCCGAACCGAAATTCCAGTAAGAACAACAATAAAAATGAAAATCGAAAATTATAAAAGAGGGAAACGCCAGTGAACCACAGTGAATTAGGCAAAGCAAACAGGCGCAGAGTGCCCCGTTTGGAGTCTTGCTGATTGGGAAAACACAACGAGGCTGAGCATGTCTAGCTTTTTTTTTTTCCTCATCTCTCTGGCCAGCTATAGTGCAGGAGCTGCAGTTGGACCAGGTTCCCTGCAGATGTGGTTTAACATGGACATGTGCTCTGCCATACTTTTCTTTTTTGATTTTCACTGATGCAACAAAGGCACAAACTAAATGTTGCTAACTTTCCACCATTTGCATGCTGCCTTTGCAGACTTCCTTTGAAGTAAGCACAGGCATTTCATGTCATGACAAAGACACTTCATATACTGTAAGTACACAAGTAAACTTTGGTCTTCCCTTATTCATTCATTTTTTTAAATATATTTTTTAAGGAATTTGTTTGTTTGTTTGTTTGAGAAATGATAGATATGTTATATAAACTGTAGTTTAATATAAAATTTACCTATAGCATGAAAAGCAGCCCCTATATAAATGGGAATTTTGGCCTGTCTAGCATTAAAGGTCTTGACCTTTTTGACAGTATCAAACAGTCAGAATAAAAATTTTATTATTTCTCATAATTAAAAAATATTTTCATATTACTTTGACATAAATGTCAAATTGATATTGAATTCATTTTATACATATATTTAATTATAATATTAGTGACCAAATATGATAACATCAAATGTATAATATTTTTGATAATTTAGCATTAAATACATAGTTCAATTTAATAGACTGTGTGTGTGTGTGTGTGTGTGTGTGTGTGTGTGTGTGTGCGTGTTTATGTGGTTTATGAGGACACAAATTTGTATAATGACATGGGTATGACATAGGTATTACAATGAGAAGGTGATTTATGAGGACATTTTGAGTGTCCCCATAATTTAAAAGGCTTATAAATCATTCAGAATGAAGTTTTTTTGAAAATCTAAAAATGCACAAAGTTTCCTGTGAGGGCTAGGTTTAGGGGTAGGGTAGGTGTAGGGCAATAGAAAATACGGTTTGAACAGTATAAAAACCATTACGCCTATGGAGAGTCCCCATAAACCATAAAAACCAACATGTGTGTGTGTGTGTGTGTGTGTGTGTGTGTGTGTGATGTTTATTGCTACGGGGGAAGAAATCGTATTATTTCTCATTATTAAAAAATATTTTCATATTACTTTGACATAATTGTCGAACTGACATTTCATTTATTTTAGATATTTATTTAATTATACTTGTAGTGACCAAAAATTATAACAACAAATGTATTATATTTTCGATAAACTATTTTTGATAATTTGTTAAATATATAATGAAATATGTTATGTTTATTGCTAGGAGAAAAACGATCAAAAGTTACACAAATTAATGTTTTATTGTATTTAGACATCCATAACCACTAACACTTACAAAAATATAAATAAATACATACATGCATAAAAAATAAACATTTGTAATATTTAGTTTACTCTCCTGAAAATGTTTCGTACCCTAATCATGGAAAGGGTCTCAAATGATTACAGTCTCTGATTGTAACGGTGCGTGTGGAGAGATGAAGCGAGGACTCAAGTGCAGGATGAATGGTTCTTTCTTTTAATAATAAAATGAAACAAAAACAAACTAAAACAACCCCAAGGGTGTCATCTGGTGGCCATCCTGGGCACACCCACTGAAGACTGTGACACTGATATGGTCCTTACAGGAGCCTCTTACTGTTTAAACTGTGAAAAGGGTTTATATTTGAGAAAGGGGCACCATTAACCTTTGGTTAGAATTTAAAGAGGTTCTTGCTGAGCTGTGGCAGTGTGGAGAAAGTTGATCTGACCTGTGGGTCTCATGCTTGCAGATGCAGTCGGGCTGACTAGTGGGTTTCTGTGTTCAAACCTGTGGTTATGAGAGAGAGTTCAGCTGTCACAGCACATTGAAATAGGAAGTGAGGTAGGTTATGAATGTGTCTTGGCTTGGCCAGGTCCACTGAGAACGGCAAACCAAAACCTGTGAACTGTGAAGGCCACGGATAGGATGTCCATGTGCTTTTGGACAGAATTGAAGATCAGCAGATTTTAAGCTCCTTCCCTCAGGCATCGCAGGTTCAGCACTCTTGGGAGGACACAGTGTGCAGAAATAAAGGACTGGGAGATGATTCAGTCAATAAACTACCTGCCATATTCAGGCAGAGCCCAGGACAGCTCACCCAGGTGTGATGTCTAAAAGAGACCACAAATGGTCATAAATGAGTTGTAGGTCTTAGACCAGATTCTTAAGCTGAATAATCTAATGACACTACCTGCAGAATTTACTTATACAAAATAAAGTCTTGTATAGTATTATATGTAACTAGTGTTTTATATTTGAAACAACCCAATAAATTCAAGACAAGGGGTTTAAGAAAAGTTGGAGGTTATCTGAATTTATGGTAGTTAATTATGATGACGTTTAAGAACATTCAAGAATCTGATTTAAGTATTTTTAAATTCTTAAGTTTTGACTTTAAAAAAAAGATATCAATATTCTTATAAGTATTCTTGGAAAAAAAAAATGTGTAACTTTTTTCTTAAGAAAATATTAAGAAAATGTGTATTTATTTATTTGAAGTATAGAAATATGTTTATTTTATATTATATATTAATTATCCTATATTTATTTATTTTATTCCCCACAAAATTAAATTCTGTCAACATTTACTCACTCTCATGTCATTCCAAACCGGTATGGCTTGCTTTCTTCTGCAGAACACAAAATAATATATTTTGTGCTTGATTATATATTTAATTACAATATATATTGAATTGTTATAGAAGATTAAAAAAAGCTATATTTGGACATCCAAAACTACCAGCACTGTTTATATAAAATTAATACAAAAAAATAAAACAGGTACTTTAATATTTAGTTTTCTCTCCTGAGGTTGATAATCAATATTTTCTGAAGCTTACGAACACATTTGTTGAAAAGAGGGGAAAAAGATTTTAACTCAATCTCATGTTGTTCCAAACATGTGACTTTCCTAAAACAAGATATTGAGAAGAATCTAAAAATCTAAAAAAAAAATGTAAAAAATCAATTATATTGCATAGAAGAAAGATTGTTATACAGGTTTGGAACGACATTATTTGTTTATTTCTTATCATCTGTCAATGATGACAAATGTTACTTTTTGACTGAACTATCGCTTTAAGAATGTTTTAAGAATGTTTTAAGAATCAGCCCAGTTCTGATGGGTTTACAGGGAAAATGCTAAATGCAAAGAATAAAATGCAATTAAGCGTATAATCATGGATGATTAAGATAAGAAAATGAGTCAGCTTTTAAAATGGAAGAGAAAGCAGCAATTGAGATCAACTGGTATGTAATCCATGAAAGCTGGTAAAAAAAGAGACATTCAAGACAACTGCTGATGTGGATGTTAGACGCTCAAGAGAATGCAAGATTAGACAGAAGTAATCTGACATCCTCAATATCCCCACTGTTAGACCCTAACTTGATGCCATCAGCACACCTCATCTCCAAGCCAGTGGTCTGTACCATGCACCTGATCAAATGTGTGTAAATATTTGGTGCGAGTAACATGAGGATGAAATTATCATTCCTTCCTGCAGTAAATTAAAGCAAACATCTGCAGCTGTCTTGGGGAATGACTGGTTAAACAAACGCTGAGGCACTGAGCCCTACCTAGGCTTTGGCATCCGTACCTCATCGCCCAGGTGTAACTTGTGTGGGGTCAATAATTCTACCCAGTGACCCGTCTGACAGCCAGACGTGTAGGAAGATCCTCTTGGCTTTTGTTGTAAGCATCTCTGAAGGCCCTCGAGTGAAACCATGTACGTCTGACAAGGCTGCTTTTCTGCACCAAAATACTGAACCCATAGATTCTGTGATTTTTCCACGAAGTACTGAAACAAGGCCTAAAATAACATTTCACTTCTAAAGTTTAACCTGAAGGACTTTACTTCTGCTTTTTCAGTTTTGGACCAGTTTAAGGGGTTATTTTCTCAGTGTTTTGTAGCCTATATGATAGCCGAGAAGGCCTTTCATGTGTTGTATCCCGTGCCAGGCATCGCTGATCAGGCTAGCACATGGAGATCTGTTTATGTATGCCACTGTCACTCAGTATTACACCTATTGGCAGTAATGCTGACTGGTGTAGGACTTTGAAATCCAACCGAGCACATTGGTAAGGCCAACATAAACGGGAATGTGAAGAGAAACTGAACGGGTATCCAAAAATGATTAGGAGTAAAGAACATGGAGTAAAGAACTCAGTCTTTGAAAGGAGATGAAAACATGTGCAGTGAGTAACGTATGCCTGCTATAACACCCAGCAAAAAGATGATATTTCTTGGGCTGCACAATTTCCATTGGTGATTTTCCACCAAAATAAAAGTTTAAATTAAGACATCCATAAATATTATTATTGTAATTGTGCAGTTGCAATGTAACAAAAGTATTACATTATTATTTTTCTTAAATATTCAATTTTATTTACAGTCAAATATTATGAATAGTAATATTTCTTATTTAGTTTTTTAGAATTTTTATATAAAAATAATAATAATTATTATTATTATTAATATTGTTGTTGTTGTTGTTGATAATAATAATAATGATAATAGCCATACTGATACAGTATATAATCACAACATTTTGGCCACATTGTGCAGCCCTACAAACAAGCACAGCAAATTTGGAATTGTCTATCAAATTTTAAATCACAATTTTTATTAGCAATTTTATTTATTTTTCCCCCCAAATCATGCAGCCTCATTTAGCAGCCTTATTAGGGTTGTGAAAGAGTATAAATAGCCTTCATGTGTTAAATATGGCCTAAACACTTTTTTTTTAAATGATTGTTAGCTAAAATACCAGTTGATTGATCTAAAAGCAGTGAATCAATTATCTTTCTCTCTTTGCAGTTTGAAAGCCAGTGACAATGCTGACAGTGCTCTGTGTCCTGCTAACGCTGGGGAATCATGCCCTGGGGGCAGGTTACGCCCCCATGCCTCAGATGAAATATGTGCAGCCCATGATGAAGGGGCCTGTTGGGCCACCCTTCAGAGAAGGCAAGGGCCAGTATCTTGGTAAGTGTTTGCAATTAACAAAATCATCCATCTATCCATCATTATATCTTTTTCCTATCCATCCCGCCATACATTCATATTCAAAAAATAAAATAAACTGTTTTCTTTTTAAATACAGTATATTTTCAAATCAAATTTTTCCTGTGATGGCAATGTTTCCTGATTTGCTGCTCAATAAACATTTCTTACCTTCTTACCTAAACATTCTATTTACCTTTTTCACTTTCCGTATTTCTCAGCAGTGGACGTCGTTATAGTTGGGTAAATTTATGTAGCGGTGAATGGGAGGCTAGGCCTACAAAAATATATTTTTTTACAGAAAAAATCCACAATAATGTTTTCACGACTTTTAAAAAGAGGAAAAAATAGAGAGAGAGAGACTGATAACAGCAGTCAGAAGAGAAAACGATGTTGACATTTCAGTTTACCTTCAGTTTACCTTCAGTTTACCTTCACTTCCATAGACGCTGTATTAGAGACAGCCGCACAGCGGTATAGTTTTTTTGTGATTTAATGCAAAGGTAATACAAAACAAAGTAAATTGTTATAAATGTACATACACATTTTTTTAAATTAAAATGTAAAAAACTTTGCTGGATTTGCGATGCGGATAACAGTTAAAACGTAATATCACAGTCTGCGAAAAGGGTCCATTATTATTAATGTTCAGGATTCTTTAATAAATAGAAAATATCAAATAAAAGAACAGCATTTATTTGAAATAGACATCTTTTGTAACACTATAAATGTCTTTACCCTCACTTTGATCAATTTAATGTGTCCTTGCTGAATAAAATGGTTAATTTATTTCAAAATAAAATCTTACTGACCACAAACTTTTGAATGGTATGAGGTAACAACATGAACATGCCTAAAAATATTATGTACACTCGATTACACCACATCTGATGCCCATTTATATAAGAATTAGTTCTGGTCAGACAACACAGATCATTTTTACTGTTCGTATCACTCTATGTGTATGTGTTTGTTAAGGACATATTGTAAGTGTCTGCATTAGTGGAGATTTTTCAGTGACTCTTTCTTGCAATATACATTGTTACAGCTGTAGGTGGCACAGAGTGTCTTGAGTGAGTCATTTGAATCATTCATTCAGCTGATTTGTTTAAAAAAACAGATTCATTCAGGAGCAAAATAAGTGGCTGTCTTTAAGAATGAGTCATGAGAATAAATCACTCAATTAATTAAAAAACAGCTACTCACTCATAAAGACACCTATTTCGTGAACAAATTAATTTGGTTGGTTAAACTGGATTGCAAGAGGTTAGTGAGTAAGAATCAGCTTAGTTTAAAAGCTGATATGTGACCCTGGAACATAAAACCAGTCTTAAGTCGCTGGGGTATATTTGTAGCAACAGCCAAAAATACATTCAAAATGATAGATTTTTCTTTTATGCCAAAAATCATTAGGATATTAAGTAAAGATGATGTTCCATGAAGATATTTTGTAAATTTCCTACTATAAATACATTAAAACTTAATTTTGATTAGTAATAGGCATTGCTAAGAACTTCATTTGGACAACTTTAAAGGTGATTTTCTCAATATTTCGATTTTTTTGCACTTTCAGATTCCAGATTTTCAAATAGTTGTATCTCGGCCAAATATTGTCCTATCCTAACAAACCATACATCAATGAATAGCTTATTTATTCAGCTTTCAGCTTTTCAATTTCCAAAAATTGACCCTTATGACAGGTTTTGTGGTCCAGGGTCACATATATATATATATATATATATATATATATATATCAGCTTATTTATATATATATACATTTTCGTTTGTTTTTTCGTTTTGTTTTTTGCACTAAAGTGGCACAGTGGTTTAGTTTATTCACCCTTTTAGGCCCTGGATGACTGAGATTCTTCAGGGAGAGAAAGAGCTGGGGAATTGAGCCAGAAGTCTGTCAGACTGAAGCACTGAGATGAACAATAAGAGAGGACAAGAATGGTTTGCAGTTCTCTGACTCCTCTCCCCTCTATGATATACGAGAGGGCATTGTGAGAGTGTCACAGGAGGAGAAAGAAGAGGGAAAAGAGGGACAGGGTGGGGTGAAGTCACCACCCTTCTAAGCAGTATATCACAGGTTAGGTGTGTAACGATTCACTCGTTTTGTCGATGTGGTGACCATGATTTCACCAAGTACAACATGTTCCTGGATCAACATTGTTGATCCAGGAACAACATTCCAATTAACCAATCAGAATTGAGAGATAACTTTTCAGGAAATATCTGTTTTAGGCTTACAATCAGGGAGGTGCTTCTACACCCTTGTAAATGAGCTATCATTTCACACTGATTTCACACTGATTTTAGGAATAAATTATGGGTAGGTTTAGGGGTAGGGATTGGGTTTAGTCTATATTTTTGGACAGTAATGTTGATCCAGGATCAACAAAAGATGTTGATCCAGGAACATGTCTTACTTGGCAAAATCACGGCGACCTTGTCGATGCATCGATTAGCCTACAAACCCTGACAATGCATATGCACCGATCTTGAAACATGGATTTTTGAATCGTGAATTGTCTATTTCGGACAGTAATCGATTTAAAACGCTAAGAATCGAATGAATCGCGATTTCTATAGCGATTCAATGCTTTCAAAATATATAAACATTAAATTACTACAAGCACGAATTAATGGAGATCTTGAACAGTGTTCGTGCCCTCGCATCTCTCCTTCACGCGTTCCACTATTTACTGCCTGTGACTGTCACAAGATTGAGCTCGCGCTCTGTTCATCTCACTGACACATTTTTTTCTGTAGTTTTTAATGGCTCTCGTCATGCCGACGACATTACCTGAGCAGTCGAAGGCTCCGCATTTATTGCATGGACGGAGCAAAAATGTAAGTGTCTAAAGCATAAAAGAGCTGGGGAATTGAGCCAGAAGTCTGTCAGACTGAAGCACTGAGATGAACAATAAGAGAGGACAAGAATGGTTTGCAGTTCTCTGACTCCTCTCCCCTCTATGATATACGAGAGGGCATTGTGAGAGTGTCACAGGAGGAGAAAGAAGAGGGAAAAGAGGGACAGGGTGGGGTGAAGTCACCACCCTTCTAAGCAGTATATCACAGGTTAGGTGTGTAACGATTCACTCGTTTTGTCGATGTGGTGACCATGATTTCACCAAGTACAACATGTTCCTGGATCAACATTGTTGATCCAGGAACAACATTCCAATTAACCAATCAGAATTGAGGGATAACTTTTCAGGAAATATCTGTTAGGCTTACGATCAGGGTTAGGTGCTTCTACACCCTTGTAAATGAGCTATCATTTCACACTGATTTCACACTGATTTTAGGAATAAATTATGGGTAGGTTTAGGGGTAGGGATTGGGTTTAGTCTATATTTTTGGACAGTAATGTTGATCCAGGATCAACAAAAGATGTTGATCCAGGAACATGTCTTACTTGGCAAAATCACGGCGACCTTGTCGATGCATCGATTAGCCTACAAACCCTGACAATGCATATGCACCGATCTTGAAACATGGATTTTTGAATCGTGAATTGTCTATTTCGGACAGTAATCGATTTAAAACGCTAAGAATCGAATGAATCGCGATTTCTATAGCGATTCAATGCTTTCAAAATATATAAACATTAAATTACTACAAGCACGAATTAATGGAGATCTTGAACAGTGTTCGTGCCCTCGCATCTCTCCTTCACGCGTTCCACTATTTACTGCCTGTGACTGTCACAAGATTGAGCTCGCGCTCTGTTCATCTCACTGACACATTTTTTTCTGTAGTTTTTAATGGCTCTCGTCATGCCGACGACATTACCTGAGCAGTCGAAGGCTCCGCATTTATTGCATGGACGGAGCAAAAATGTAAGTGTCTAAAGCATACGCACAGTTCCATTGAATGATGTGTTTTAACAATGCTGTTGAACCGAATGTACGAAGGAAACTAAAATAACCAGAGCATTAACAACAACCTTGAAATAAGAGCGCGAGGTTTATGTGATAATCAGATGCATGAAAGTAGCGTTCGTTGCTATAGCAAACAGACATCGGGCACGTTTTCTTTCAGAATCATCATTAGCTGATGGAGAGGAAACGTTAAATACTATAGCATTTTATTTTATGAAAATGAGATAAAGAAGTTTTCGCACTGAAAGAGAAGTGATCTCGCGCACATAGAACATAAGACATGCCAGGCTATATCTGCAGCTAAACTGTATAAAAAGCAGAATGAACTGAAACGTTAAGACAATAACTCTAACACCCCATAAAAACAACCAGTATACTCGCTGTAAAATAGTATATGAATGTGCCTTTGCCTCAGTGGCTGGTTTTTCTATGCTGCTGGGATACATTGGACTGTTGGCAGCAGTAAGCTTCCTGTTAACCTTCCTTTCAAGGAATCTTCCAGATAATTTTAATGAAGCCAAGTTCATCACTTTTATGCTGGGTACACAGTAAAATATTTTTTAAATCTTATAAGATCTTCAAAATGTGAGAGACCACAAACATGAGGACAAAAAATCCAAGATTTAACCGTTTTGCTCCTATAGTGTGTGGTGTGCCGCGATGTTCCCCCCACACATCAGGATTTCTGATTCGATTCGCGATCGTGGTGCCTCCGACCTTCTTCCGAGCAGATTCAGTCACTCTTAACACACCTCACACCACAGGAAAATCTGATAAGATAATCTTTAGAACCAAAATTTATGAATGATGCAGTGCTAATTGACATACCATTTATTACAGCACAGAAACTATAAAGTATATTTTCTACCCAATTCTGTGCAGAAAATTGAAATAATCGTAGTATATAAAACAATCATAAAATTGCCATTAGGAAAAAAAATATAGATTACAAATGATTCGGGACATTACCTAGGATTGTCGGAAGTGGAGAAATCGGCCCAAAATCAGCCCGATTATCTTGTGGTGTGTACCCAGCATAAGATGAATAAAAAGCAGAATGAACTGGTGAAACGTTAAGACAATACACACAATAAATAAAATTTATGAATGATGCAGTGCTAATTGACATACCATTTATTACAGCACAGAAACTATAAAGTATATTTTCTACCCAATTCTGTGCAGAAAATTGAAATAATCGTAGTATATAAAACAATCATAAAATTGCCATTAGGAAAAAAAATATAGATTACAAATGATTTCAAAGTAAGAGATAAGAAAATAATTCCTTGTAAAAAAAAAAAAAATAATAATAATAATAATAATACATACATAGCCTACATACATACATACATAAAATTAATGTATTTGACATTTTTGTCACTTCTGAAATGATGGCTATGCCCCTGGTGTGACAAAATGTTAGCCTATACATAATACTTTTAACGCTCTTTTTTAACATCTTGGCTTACATAAATTTCTACATATGCCATGTCATGCCATAGCATCATTAAACTAGCATCTAACAATGGACAAAAGTGTTTTTTTCTCTCTCTTTCTCTAACCTATGGTTCTCTAACCATAAAGGTTGCTGTGCAATTTGCCCCCTGACTAAGCATTTGAAGAATTTAGGGGAAGCATTTAAATAATCCTGTGAATGCACTTAAAGAATGCAGAATCGAATCGTTAATCGAATCGAATCGAATTTAATTGTGAATTGAATCGAATTGAATCGGTCTGAATTTGCAAAAATTGTTCTTGAATCGAATCGAAAACCTATGAATCATGAAAATCGAATCGATTCGCTACCCAACGATTCACAGCCCTATCACAGGTCCATATAGTCCAGACCCTGAAGGGAATCAAAGGGTGTGTCAAAACAGTGTCAGAAACAAGCAGGAGGGGTCAAGAGAGTCTTGAGCTGATGAGAAATCCAGGATGCCAAATGAAAGCTGTTGTGATGTGCTTAAGATACATAGGAGGTCTCTGTTTCACAGGTAAAGAGAGAAGGATAAAACACTGCAAAGAGAAAAGAGCAAGAAGTGGTCAGGTACGTTTTCCTTGGATGTGATTGGTTTAACTGCTGCTGATAGTTCAACTTTTAGGGATAGTTCACTCAAAGAGGAAAATTCAGTCATTTACCCACCCTCATGTTTTTCCAAACCTGTTTGAAAACACTGTTCCGCTGAAGGAGGAATGTCATACAGGTTTGGGCAACATAGGGGTTAGTAAATTATGACTGAATTTTTATTTTGCACATATAGATCACATTGTTTATTATGGTTTATTGAACTGCAATTAATGTACTTGAAGTTTGAACAATTTAAACAAACTAAAGTTAAGTGTATAGGAGACCTTCAAGATCAATTAAGATTCAAAACATCTCTAAAGAAAAGCTGTGTGCTCACCACCATCTAGTGGAGAATGGAAGACTTGCACTGAAACTTGCACTTGCACTTTTTTTTGAGAAGTGTTTGTGATATTGCACTTTGCTAATCCAGTTGAAACCTAACACAAATTTTCATTAAAAAAGAAACAAAAACATACTAAATAAAACCTGCTATTGGGTATAGATAACCAGCCTCTCTAAAATACAGAGCCAACCTCCCTAAAACAAGTCCTCCCATGAGCATTTGTGCTGAAACTATTCAGAGAAATATGCTCAGTGCTTTTTTTCCTGCTGACCATTTCTAAATTAGACTGACTTCTGTCCAGTACCAGTATTTTAGGAAATTCCTTGTAGTTGTCTGTTTATTTTGGAGCATGGAGTTTAAGGTGGCACAGTGATTGTATCAGGTTAATTAAGTAAATGGAATTTACAGAACATGATTTTTTATTGTGTAATTTTGTATTTATATATTTATGTAAAGTGTAATGATATAAATTATTCCTCTAAACCAGTTGAGACATGTTGAATACTAGGCCTATGCTATAAATAATTTTACCACTTGAGGGCGCTTCACAAATATAGTATACTATTCTATTACGTATACAGATGAGGACATAAAAAATATTTGCTAAGAAGTGGATGGATAGATATATATTAGGTACTCAAGGGCCATAACATCTATGAGATAATTATGGTAGATTATATTTCATTTAACTTATTGTTTAAATATATTCCTCAAATAAATTACTTTAGAAATGACATACTAGAAGCCCAACCGTTTGTGTTTGTGTGTGGTACGGTCTCTGAAGTGAAAAGTATAAAGCACATTTTAACATTGGCCAATTTAGCTGGAGATTAGGCTAAGGATTTATCTCTCTCATGTTGATGCCACATGGACTTTTGAATATGTCAGGACACATCTGTCATAAGGTAAGGCTAAATGTAATGTAATGTTAATTCTGAACTCATCTCTCAAAACTTTTATTGAGAACTGAAGTGAATGCATCTTTGCAGTGTTTTCCTCACTTGTTGTTCCTAGTACAAACATGGCAGTCAAACGTCATCACTGCAGTTCCCTTGCTGAAATTCCAGTGAGGTCAAATGCTTTCGAGAATTTTGTCCTTGTCCTTTGTTTATGTTTTGTCCATAAACACATTCATTTTCCCCTGTAGGCTTTCATTGCATACCTGTGTAGCTGCCATTGAGCAGACACTTGAGCATAATGTTGAGTAAAACACAACGCATAAATGTAGTCTCACTAGCACTTTAGTGTCCCCTCTACATGGAAACAAACAATATTTTTTGATGGCACAGTGATTCATTGACAATAAAATGTGTGTCTTTATTGGTAAAATCTTATTTTTTGAATTTAGTTATGAAGTTATTAATTTTTCTTTTTTTATTGCAGAGTTTCCACCCATGATGGATATTAAAGGGGAGCCAGGTCCTCAAGGGAAGCCAGGACCAAGGGGACCACCTGGGCCTCCTGGATTACCAGGGAAACCAGGTATAGGAAAAGCTGGTCTCAATGGTCAAACAGGTCCTTCAGGGCCTCCAGGATTCCCTGGGATTGGAAAACCAGGACTACCAGGGTTACCAGGAAAACTGGGACCTAAAGGACCTCCTGGACTCAATGGTGAGGTTGGACCTCATGGAGAGGTGGGTCCACGTGGACTTCCAGGTCAGCCAGGACCACCTGGACCAGCAGGTCTGTCGTTGAACGGCAAACCAGGGTTACCTGGGACTAGAGGCCCACCAGGGTCAAGAGGTGACCCGGGGCCTAAAGGCGGACATGGTATTCCTGGTGAACAAGGACCAAAAGGGGAAAATGGCAATGGAAAGCCAGGTCCAACAGGTCCCAGGGGACCCACTGGCCTTCAAGGACCTTCAGGATCTCCAGGTGTTCCTGGGTTGGGTAAACCAGGGATTGATGGGCTGCCTGGACAAGCAGGGCCAAAAGGAGATAAAGGACTTCCAGGAGTTCAAGGTGTCCCAGGGGAAGCTGGTCCTCCTGGACTACAAGGTCAGCAAGGGGCAGCTGGTGTGGGAAAACCTGGACTTGATGGTGCTCCAGGTAACTCAGGCCCAATTGGTCCAAAGGGTGAAGTTGGCCCCAGAGGAACTCCTGGGTTTCCTGGCCCCCCTGGCTATGGTAAACCAGGGTTTTTAGGACAGAAAGGAGATAGAGGTCCTGGTGGATTACAAGGAGCCCTTGGTGACAAAGGAGAACCTGGGATGGATGGTCTACCAGGAGATACAGGGCCAACTGGACAGCCAGGACTTCCAGGTCCACAAGGTCCTATGGGTCTTCCAGGGAAACATGGGATGCCTGGTCTAAAGGGAGAGAAAGGCCCACAAGGACCTCCGGGCTTGCCAGGACTTAGAGGAGATCAGGGTCCCAGTGGGCTTTCAGGAAAGCCTGGCCTGCCAGGGGATAAGGGCCTTCCTGGTCTCAACGGAGCCACAGGCAAACCTGGACCTAAAGGGGAACCGGGTCACATCGGACTGCCAGGTAATCCTGGTTTGATTGGGGGACCAGGTCTAAAAGGTGAGAATGGGTTACCAGGACCCCCTGGGCCACGTGGCAATTCAGGGATCCCTGGACTCCCAGGCCCCACTGGTCATATGGGACCTCAGGGTATTCCAGGGTTGAAAGGCGAACAAGGTCCACCGGGCCCCCAAGGAATTGGAAAGCCTGGAGACAAAGGTATGCCTGGTCCACAAGGACCTCCAGGAAAACCTGGCCCTCCTGGATTTAGCGGTATGCAGGGCCCTCCAGGTCCGCCTGGACCTCCTGGGCTTCCCGGCCCACCAAGTGGTGATATAAATCAGTTAGCGGTTCAAGGACCAAATATTGTAGGAGAATCCATTCCAAAGCCAAATGGTGAGAAACCTTATTTTGGTCAGGCTGAGCTCTCTGCCTCTGTGGCTCCTGCTTTTACCGCCATTTTGACGACACCATTTCCACCATCTGGAATGCCGATCAAATTTCCACATACACCTATGATGAGTACAAGAAGGGCTATATGGACCAGGCATCAGGTAGTGCGGTACTGGAGCTGAAAGAGAATGACCAGGTTTGGGTGCAAATGCCCTCTGACCAAGCAAACGGGCTCTACTCCACTGAGTACATCCATTCGTCCTTCTCAGGTTTCCTCCTGTGCCCCACATAACGGTCCGTCACAGCGGAGAATTGCTTGCTCAAGTGACCTGCAGTAACATCTGTAATAACAGCGACTAGATTACAAGAAAGACTTGCTGAACGACGGAGACGCTGAGTTCGAAGCAGAAGATGGAGAATTCATGCTGTGTCTCTGTTTTCACCCTCTCTTTCAAATGTCCGATTTGATCATTGTTTTACTTTCAAGTATTGTCATTTTCTGCCTATATGATAATTTTATTATAACTGTTATGTTATTTTTGTTGATGTTGATGTATTGGTGTTATTTTATTGATGTCGTTGTAGTTGTTGTTGTTTATCGCAATCAGACTATTAAGTATTTTGCAATGTGTAGGTAACCGTTTAAAGACTTACCCATGTGACTGCACACGTTGCCAAATGTTCTGACTCCCATTGAGCTCCATCACGTTGACTCTGGGGTTGTGTGTTCCCCTGGTTGCAGTCGAATTCACCTATATCTTTCCCTCATATAACACAGGCTACTTGATTTGTGCCACATTTCACATTTTAGAATGCAGACGTTCTATACAGCATTGTTATTGTATTTGTATGTTTAAATACATCCATAATTTAAAGAATAATCTTCAGTTCCATATTGTTTTTTCTTATTAATGCCAGACAGGTTAATATCTATCTGCTTTAGTCATTAGGTATGTATGTTTTGTTTGATTTACTGTGTTAAAGCAGAAATTATGTGCTAATCTGTCTGTTTCTTCGACAACTACATTGTGTTTGAGAGTTATTAAGGAAAAATGTACTTGATGATTTACTGAGTTCTTTGCTCAAAACATGCCAGGTTTAAATCAGTAGTGATCCTGAAGGCCTCAAGAGGACTGCTGTACAACAGTGCCTGCATTAACAAAACAAATATGCAATTTCTGTGACACTAATTCCATATACTTTCAGAAAAAAGTTACAAAAGCTGTCACTAGGGTGGTAACCTTTCAAAGGGTACACCTTTGTGCCTTATTTCTTCCACATTACATACATATTAGTGCCTCAAGTGTACATATTAGTACCTTTCAAAAAGTGACACCTTTGTACATTTATTTCTGAGAGTGTACTTAAAAAATCATGACATCAAAGCTAATACATAAAATCTTAGGATAGCCTAGAGTACGTTGGTGAGTAAGGGACTACTAGTAGATTGAGAATATGAAAATATAATTCTGAATTTTTTATGTAACAAATCAATTCTCCAACACAAAATCCAAACTACTGCATTGTGTACTCTAAATGTTTTACAATCTATGACGCTTTTCTAATTGCTGCTTTAACAATGACACAATTGACTGATGGTTTTTTACATTCTTCTGAGACTTGTAATTACACAGACATGATTGACATTAACATGAGTCAATGCATGTCCTAATCTTTTACATTTTGACAAAAAGTTACATGATTTGGATAAATCACACCCACTGCTCCAGTGGTGTTTATGAAAGGTTAAAATGTAACCTCAAACAAAGAAAAAGTTCCTTGCACATTTACTGAAGTGAATGAAAAATAGCAAATGAGGCTTGAAGTCCCTCTTGAAAGACATTTTCTCACTTCTGTTTGTTTGACCGGCATGTAGAATTATGAAATTATGAGTGTCAGTACTAAAATGCACCCACTCACTGAGGTTGCCCATTCAGTACACCGTTACATTAAATTTGTTCCATGACATTGTTCAGATTATTTACTCTTGAATGATGTTTTGGCACCAAATCTTTCATTTCATCATGTATGTGACTTTTTATTGTATATTAACACTGTGACTAATATTTTCTTTGATGAGTGTATATTGTGCAATGGATTTAAGATTTGAAAATTCGTTGTGCTGCAATTTAGAAAAACTTCTTAGACTATGTTGCTTCCTTTTGTCAATTTAAAACAAACTAGGATAAAAAAAAGCCTTGATTCTGTTTCACGGGATATTTATTCATGTTCAATCAGATTAAAAGAAACAACCAATCCCATTTGCACATAAATTTAATGAAGGCATATTTATACATTTGTGATAGTCCAGTAAGGAATGTCCAACTACCGAAACCCTGAACGTACAAATAACCTTATATTTAACAGCATCGAGGAGTTTGTAGTACACACTACCATTGTTTTTCTTTCTTTCTTTCTTTTATGATGTATCTATCAATCTATAGGACTTTTGTCATACTGCATTCACTTTATGCAATCCGTTTTGGGTATTAAATGCACTCTTTGATTTAACATATTTTGTCAGCTCGTACAAAATCTACAAGTACTTGACAGTACTGATGCAACATCAATAAAGACTTTCTTGATCAAGGGTGTCTTTTGTTGTTCTCTTTAACTAATAAGACCAAGGCTAATATGTGAATTAAAACCTAATCTTAAAATCATTACCAGTGGCATATTATAGGCCCATGTTATAATACTTAAGCCCACATATTTACAGTGTGTAGGTTTTGTTAGGCGGAAGAATATATGAACAAAGCATATTTTTCAGCTTTGTACAGAAATTTGTGACTAACACTAGGGGGAGTGTACATCCATTTTAGTGTTCCTTGCAGGGTCACCTGTGATCATATAAAGGTGGCTAAACTGCTTCACAGGTATCACACCTATAAGGATTCATCCACCTTTAACTTGCTCTACATTTTGTGAATATATAAACCAGTTTCAAATCTAATACTTCCAAATGAGGTGGTCACACATTTGTTTTCTTGGATTAAATAATCAATATTTAATGTTCCACAAAGTATTGGAATAAATTCCTCGTAAATATGTACATTCTTGGATTAAATGAACAATATTTCACGTTCCACAAAGTATTGGAAGAAGTCCTCGTAAAACGTCAACAGGCTCTTGCGCAAAGATGACGCAGTTGCTGCCCGACTCCTCCCCCTTCAGTTCATCTCAGTTCAGTTTTCACTGAGAACGACAAACACGACTTCACCCTCACAGCGGTTACGGCTCTACGTGCACTTTCTCCGGGGTTTGCCAAGGGATTTCAATGTTTGGCCCGTTCTTTGTAAGTATCCCCTATTATCACTCGCCTTCCGCCTCTAATATGCCAGGGAGACGTTAATAACGACTACCCGAGACGCTTGTTTGACCGTTTCTAGTGTAGCTGTGAAAGCTCGCGCTTCAGCCGGTGAAGGAGCTCGCGAGGGTGGCAGCCATTTGCCCGCGTACGTTTGAACGGAAACTCCATACTTGCCTGTTTTATTCGTTTTGACGGCTAGACGTTTTTTTAACAGGGTCAGAGACAGTTTGTCGGTCATTACTATATTTGTTGTCGATAAATGAAAGGTCTGGGGTTCTCCTCAGGCTGTCCAGCTTTTCTGGAATGCGCTGACTAGCCGCTTGCTAGCGGTCTCATCACCAGCCAGAGACCGTGTCAAGAAGTTACTCAAGACAGTTTATAGCTGTAATTATAAATGTAGATAAATGGTTAATTCTGTGTCTGGACATAAAACACAATGGTCACTTGGTCATTTTTCACGGGTTGGGCGGCTGTGAGGGTCAGAGAGGTTGAGATTGAATTGTTAGCCAGCGAGCTAATGTTATAACTGTCAGTTCAGTCAGATAACAATTTATCGTCACACTCCAGAATGTTTCTGATTTCAGTGGTTCAATGGTTATGCAAAGCGTGGAAGATTAGAGCCATTAATTTTAGTTTCTTTTTAGTGTACCACAAAATTTGCCACACAAGCCTTGCCAGTTCACGTGCGTGTAATTAGTTTCTTCTTATTCACGTTTGCTTTATTTTAACTGAATTTGACTTATTGTTTCCCTTTTGAAGTATGGACGACCCGTGATCGTTCCCGTATCCAGCACTTGGTTAAACTGTAAACTGATGACCTAGCATTAGACCTAAACTGCGTAGTGAACTAGTTGGTAAGCCATCAGTATTGAAATGTCAAGCTTGTAGAACAGGTAAGATGATGTATGGGTGGAATCTGATTCCAGCCGATTCCCAGAATGAGATGCTTATTGTTGGCATGACATGACCCCAAATGTGGTATTCAGGTGCCCTGTGTAGTATTTTATGAGTCACCTGGCTTCAAGCTCCCACCTGTTCTCATCCTGTTCCTGTGTAATTAATACAAGGAAACTGTACAGGTGTTGGTCAGTGGCTTATGCCTTGTTGTCTTTTGGTGCATTAGCACGGGATAAGCGATGCCTGTGATTTTACTCGAATTTACTGACTTATCTCACGGATACGATGTCAAGGCTTTGAGAGTACCGTTCTATGGTCCGGTTAGATTAATTAAAAAAGAGAAACTAATATAGTTTCGCGCCTTGTCATTTACATTTCACCAGGTTAAAATAATATTTATTTTTAACACATTAACCTTAAAACCTTTTTAGCTTTCTCTTTCTGCAAATTGTATGGTGTAGCGATATGACAGCACCCAAAATACTATCAAACACTCCAACGCAGTTCCATTCTTCGCGAAAGATGGATAAAAAAGGCGCACATGAAGCAAAAACCTCGAATAATGATAATACGACCCGCCAAATGCTGGCCAAATCACAGAGGTGCCGATTTGCACGGGACTATTATCATCACAGGACCTGGGTGTTCGGCGAAATATGGTAGGTTATTTGCGGGAGAATTTTTATTTTACAAATTACAGACATGGCCGATTCGCACGGGATTAAGATTACAGACAACCTCCGCATTTATTTCAAATGACTGGAGGTCACCAGGTAATACGAATGCCGTGCGAATAGGGCTTTTGAGATGGACATGCAGAATCTAGAAGTTGTGAAATTGCCAGGTGGGAACAAGTCAGGACATGTTTTAGAGTTTGCGGTATCTGCGTAATATAAGGAGCGATTTCACCTGACAGGGTTTTTTTTTTTTTTTTGCTTTTGTAAGGTGAAGCTTAGTTGTTTGTAGTGCTGAAGC